GTGTCAGAGTAGAACTGTGCTCCATATGATTTTCAGTGGCTGATTTCTGGGAAGTAAATCACCAGGCCTGTCTTCCCAGGTGCCTCTGGGTGGACTCAAACCATCAACCTTTCGGTTAGCAGCTTAGCGTGTTAACAGTTTTTACCACCCAGGGCTCCGTGCAGAGAGATAGTTACCAGGTATTTGGACCTGCAAGTCTAAAGACCAAAGAAGAGGTCCAGAGACACAAATTTGGTAGCATATGGGTGACAATTCAAATCGTGATAGTGAAAAGAATTGTCCAAGGAAAACATGGAAATTGATAAGAGGACCGAATCCTGAAGTATGTCCAAATTTAAGGCACAGCTGGAAAAAGGATTCATCAAGAAAAGAAGGGGAAAAAAAGTCACCAATGGATAGCTTTATTCAGGAAGGCAGGCTAGTTTTTGAAGTTGTAGTTTGTTTATTGACATATTGGTGAAACAGTAACTAATGAACAATTTCGTTTAGTTCACTAAGTATTTAATGAGTGCTGAACACAAGTCAAGGAGCCCTGATGGAACAGTGGTTAAGTGCTTCGCTGCTAACAGAAAGGTTGGCAGTTCGAACCCACCAGCTGTTCCATGGGAGAAAGAAGTGGCAGTCTGCTTCCATAAAGATCACAGCCTTGGAAATCCTATAGGGCTGTTCTACTCTGTCCTCCAGGGTCACTATGAGTTGGAACCGACTTGATGGCAACAGGTTTTGGAACACAAGTTGTACACTATGCTGGACCAAGAAAGGGAAAGACAGAGGAGATTAAGCTACCATTCTTGCCTTGGAGGAGTCTACAGTCAGGGGAGGCTACTGCTTCTATTTCACTCCCAGACACCAGTGAAATTGCCTTATAAATAAAAAAAAAAAAAAACACTCAATGAATTTAGCTTATCATAAAACACAAACAACTTACTTTGGAGCATTTTTGAGGGATGGTAGAAAGAAATGAGTGTATTCAAGCTGTCTAAGAGAGAAGACATGGGGGGAAATCATAACTTGTTTCAAATATTTTAGGTACAATTAAAATGGCTTTCTTTTGGGCCCCAGAACTGGGAAGAGCATGGGTAGAAATTAAAGAGAGGCCTTTTGATTAATATGTTATATGATACATTTGTATATTGACCAAGAATAACTTTCTGATGGAGCAAAGCCCTAGCTGGCTGCCTCTATTTTTGTCAATTCAAATAGTCTCTGGAGGACTATGTTGTTGTTAGCTGCTGTCCAGTTGACCCTCCACTCATGGAGATGTCAAGCACAATGGAACAAAGCGCTGCCCCATCCTGTGCGATCTCCATGATCACCTGTGGGTTGGACAATGGTGATCCATATGATTTTCACTGGGTGATTTTCAGAAGCAGATCACCAGGCTTTCCTTCTTCCCAAGTCTGCCTTAGTATGGAAGCTGTGCTGAAACATATTCAGCCTCATAGCAACATGCAAGCTTCCACGGACAGAAGAGTGGTGGCTGTGCATGGAGTGCATTGGCTGAGAATCAAACCAAGATCTGTGGCATGGAAGGCGAGAATTCTACCACCGAGCCACCAGTGACCTCACCTTGGGGACCACTGGCCTTCAGAATTGGAGTTACAGTAGACTTAATGTAGACTTGATGATCCGTAAAATCCTTTCCAGACCTGGTTTACCTGTCTACCCCTAGACCTTCTCCTAAAGCAGTGGTTCTCAAACTTTTGGAGGATCACATACCCCTCTGAGAATCTGTTGAAAAGTTATGAACACTATCCCGGAGGGAGGGGGGAAATGAAAGTATGTACATAAACACAAATTTATTAAAACAAGACCTCCTTGAAGTCTTCCATAGAAAGTCCATGGACTTCAAGAGGTTAGGACCTCTTGTCTTGGTTTATTTCCAAAGGATGAGAACACAGCCATTGCTTACTCTGGAATTATATACATTGAAGTAAAAAAACATCTTTGGGACTTAATTTAGAACCATGACTAAGGTTTGCTATGCATCTAACGCAGTGCATTATTTGATTTTATTCTGATGTCAGCCTTACTTTACAAGTGGCCCCATGCAACCCACAACTTCACAGATATATGTACATAATCATATGCACATATTTTATTTTAACAATAATAATGATGTTTGGTGAAACCACTTACAGTCACAAAGATACGTTATTGTAACTGAGATTCTTTAGCAGATGGATTTAGGGGGAGTTCTTTCTGATTAGGGCTGTCTTACATATTTATACTGGAAGAGTTCATGAGCTATTTTTGATACTTAGTCTTTAATCATGCTTAATGAACTGAACTAAACATAATTCTTGCTTTGTTTTGGTAACCTTGTGGATTTCTTCTAATGCTCAGTTTCATGTGACTGCACTATTCTTGAAACGCTAGTACACAAAGTGCTAATCCAAGAAAGGACCACGAAAGTTAGATTTCATTTCATAGAAGTTCATTCCGTATTCACAGACCTTCCAGAAGAGCAAGGCTGTGAGAAGAATGATATTAGGTGGAAAATATTGGCTCCCACCTTGGGTGAACACACAAATTTAAACATATAGGTTGCACAAAATTTGGATAAACTGAGGTGGAATCCAACATTTCTTGCATGAGTGCCTGTATAATGTGGCGATAGCTGTGAGAAAAGAGAAGCCCAGCATCTAAGACCCAACACAATGAAAATGCAATGAATTGGAATGCCTCACAGATCATAGCGGAATCAGAATTTCCAGCAAGGAAAATCTTTTCATGGTGAATTAAGTGGTGGATGAAGAAAAATGGTGAGGAAAAAAGGTAGGCGCAGATCACAAACACTCGGCTCAGGGCTCACTGCTGAAGATTTAAGAACCTTAGCTAAAGCTATGCAGAATAGAATGTGGAAAATTGAATTTACTAAACAATTAAGCATTGAATTAATCTACATCCTGCACAGTAGAAAAGTGGGGGAGGGAGTGAAGCAGAGCTGAATAAATCAGTGGAGCTCATTAAAAGATAGTGAATATATCAGGTCTGTTGTAGCATAAAGGAGGACAGTTTCCTGTATAACATGGAATAATTCTTTGGTTCTAAGTCACCTTTTTGGAGTCCTGGTCTTAATCAGATTAACAAACATGTTTCTGATGAGGTAAGTCTATTGCTCTATATTTTAGCTTGTTATCGCTAGCTTTTCTATTAATTACAAGTCAGATCACCGGTCAACAATAGTGGTGAAGGACAACATAAATAAAATGAGAGTGCCCAGGAGATGTCACTCGCAGGACCTCATGCATCCTGAAACTCCCACGGGTTCCTGCAGCCTCCCACATGCCTTGCTGGTCTTTTGTTCAATTACAGTTAATGCAATAGTTTGCCATTTTCTCCTTCTAATTATATTTTCAAGTGGGATTTGTAGCACATAGAAAAACATCCTTTTACATGTAGAGGCACCGGGGTTTTGTGCCTGGCATTGTCTGCCCCCTGGGTGCTGTACCATTCTTTCTGCAGAGCTCTGAATAAACAAGTCTCCCTTTTAGAGCTGCAGTTGTACAAACTGAAAATTTATGCATTAACTGTTTGCATTCTGAGCATGTGTCCCAGATTATGGCTTACAGCATTCTTCTGGTATGCCGCAGAATGTGTATTTGTAAGAAGCTCTCCTTTCACTGCTCACATATCTTTCAATCACAGAAGCAGCAGATCAATTAGCACTGTTTTTTTTTTTTTTAAGAATATGCATAATGGCTGAGTCAAACATACAAGTGGCGTATCTTTCTGTGACTTTTTTTCATTTTTCAGGCTGCATTAGGACCCTGGGATGATGATAGAATGCATAGCAAGGAAAGCATCCTTTTCAGGAAGAGTGCATCTTTCCCTTTGATGCCTAGGCAGCGGACCTGATAGATGGAATCTTTACTTTTCTCTCCCTGAATGTTTCAAATATTTTGATCTCCTCAGTCCTTCTTTCTTCTCTGTAATATGAAAATACTTTTCAAGAAATAAGCAAAGAGTGCTTTGATTTTGCTAGGCATGTTAAAAAGGTTGGGAGGGTCAGTAAACTTTAATACTCCACAGTCATGAGCCATGACATTGTATGACTGAGGTGACGTACACATACTTTACATCCCAGATCATCCTGCATTCTCACTCGTAGTCTTGAAGATGAGATCCCTTGCTAGCCAAGAATCTGCCTTCTCTTCTGCATCATTCCTACTGTGCAGAATGACCAGTGACTCACGAGGCAGTTTTAGAAATCTAGCACTAAAAGCTAATTAAAATCTTTTCTGGTGATAAAGGGAGATTTGGGAGAAGTGTCGCCCTGATTGTTTTCCCCAAGAATTTAATTTACAGCCAATTTTTCCTATCTGAATGTTACTTTCGAATGCACCCAGTGATAAGAAGCAACGTCTGTTTTCTGTTCAATAGTACAAGAAGGCTCTGCATGGGGCTGAATGTACACAGTCCGTGTGAATCTATTGTTATTCTCATTTCTTTTTTGTCCCTGTGCCTGGTCCATTTGCCATGTACCGTCCGGCAAACAGCTGACACATAAGAGCTGTTATGGACCCAGGCCTAACTGTGAGGTCTTAAAAGCTCTGCCATGTTTGTCTTCTCGGATGAATCGGAGGCCTCCATAAACCTCAGTGCCATGGACCACCACTCCATTTTGCACTGGCAGAGTAGCAAGCAGACTGTTGTGCCAAAGGGTTTGTTGATGTTAAAAATATAGTCAGAATCAAGTGGCCGCATTAATCTTTTCCCTCTTTGCCTGGCATGTTTCTGTTTTCCTTGGTAATAAAGCATGCAATTACTTCCAGAAAAACTATTTTGTAGATATTATTTTAACTTGGAAGATGAAATCGGCAAATTGTAAATGTGGCAATGTAGCTTTGAGCTGGAACCACTTTTGAAGGGGGCCCCGGGAGGGATGGGCGTGGTTGCCCCTTCTAGACTTCATCCCTTTCTCATTATGCGGTGAGATCTTACTTGGGAAGTGTTAACAGACGGCTCCATTTGCATTTCTGGTTTGTGCCCCACAGCCCTCTTGGAACCGAGATCACGATGACACAGCCTCTACCCGTTCAGGAGGAACCCCAGGCCCTTCCAGTGGGGGCCACACATCACACAGCGGCGACAACAGCAGTGAGCAAGGTAGGAGAGGTGTTCTCATTCTCTTTGCTCCCTGTTTTATCTTTAAGGGTTGGAAAAGCAGACATGTCTGGTTAGTTACTATTTATACAGTTTTTCCTAGAACATAAACCCCATATAATTAGGGAACCAATTCATCGTATTTTATTCCTTGATCCTTTTCTTCTTCTATGCCATTCCTGCTGCCTAACACCTGGCTGTCTCCATAAAGCAAGGTCAGGAAGTTGACTGAGGGCAAGAGTAGAGAAGTAGATTGGAAGTTCAAGTCTGCATACATAGTATGCCACTGATACCCTGCTATGCAAATTAAAAGTATGATTGATTATGACTTACCTTCAGATGCTTTTGAAGGGATCATGAAGAAGCACCCAGTAGGATTTAATGATGTCTTGAAGATGCTTAGAAGACAATCATTCTTTCAGAAACCCATGTTGGGCTTCCCTCTCCACTGGGTTGAGCCATTTTTCTGTTTTTGCTTACCTGAATCTGTTCAGTGCTTGACTTCATTGCACAGACAGCCTAAATGGAGTTAGGAAGAAAAGGAAAGAAACCAGACCGATTTAATTTGGGTTCTACTTTGAATGCATATACCTGTGCGCGCATGTGGGTGTCCATGCGTGTGCATGTCTAACTATAACTAGTAGGAAATAAAGTTTTAAAAGCTAAGTTAGTCTTCACCAAAAAGGTTAATGAGCATCTAACTGCCTATTCTGTGTTTGATGAGATCTTCTGCAGTGGATTTTGTGTTCAGTTAATGCAATTAAAGCTTAAAGGAGGATTCTCAGACTAATATAAAAAGACTTTGTTGAAGTTGACTCTGAGCCCACAGTAGGTACATACTTGAAAATCTGGTTTTATGATTGTGTTTCACTGAAGTACTGTTAAACAACAAAGGGATTTTGTTTTCTAATTTACTTGGGCTATACCAATTAGAATTGCAAAGTCTACAATGAATTTAACACGATTAATTTGAAAACAAAAACAGGAAAGTTAAAATTTTTAGGCACATGTGTGCTATTTGCACTGGCGATAACTTGTACAAATAGAATTTTAGGCATTTGAGACATTTTATTGTTCAAAGAAAAGTTGCTGACTTCACCACAACTAGAGTCTAGTAAAAATGCAGCCTGGAATAGTAAACTGATTCAGAGCTGGCGCAGAAACAGGTAACCCCTGACCTCTGACTTTTCCTGGAAAATGATATGTAGCATAAATCCAAGGGACCTATTTTTTCTTCCAGGTACGTGCATGTATATGTTATGGTGTTGCTGTTCACAGCGCTGTAGTTAAGGTAGTGTCAGCACTTTCAGTATAAAGCCCTATTTTCAGAATTCTACTTACACTACCTGTTTTCCAAAAGGTGTAAATGGAATCTACATTTTTTTCCTATAGTCCAAAACTGCTACACGGGGTCGCAGCCTAGTGTTTTGCTCGTTTGTTTCTTTTTTATTTCTTGCTTTAAAAGAATATGTCAACAAACATAGAGGTAGTTTAGCTGCTGCTTTGAAGGTCTGCAGCTGCTGAAATGCACTTGAATTTAAAATTGTAGCATACCAGTTTTCTCAAATGTAATCTGATAAGAGGATTTTCAGAGGGCCAGTGCCCAATACTAATTCTTTCCCTCTGAGACGCCATGACAAGGAATTAGGAATTTTGCATTTTTTTTTTTTTTCCTTGCAACAAGTGTTCTCCTAAGGCCAATTTAAGAATGAATTTTATTGTAACCGGGAGCTGTATGTTCTTCACGTTTTACCAGACTTTTCTCCGTATATTGTTTCCTTTTACATTTCTTCATGTAAAACCACCACTTGTTTTTTTCCAAAAGCACTTTCCCAAAAATTATCTCATTTGAATTACCTCGGTTGAACCTTAAAACAGTGCTAGGTGGCAGATAAAGCAGGTCTAGCCCCATTTGACAGATGGCTAAGTTGACTTGTTGAGGTCCCAGTGTAGCGTCAGATCAGACCTCAAATTCCAGTTTCTTGATTACTGTATCTAAGATTCTTCTCATCATACCCTCTTCCCCCATTTCCACTCCAAAGAACTAAAATAAGTGACTTCCACTGTGATCCAATAGAAACTTCCTGTACTGTTTTCTCTCTACCTACTGTTCCCCCACCTGCTGGATAACAGAGGTGGTGTGAGCTGTACTCTTACTTGCTCTTGCCTGTGGCTTCACTTAGGTGGGTGATTTACTCCTGCTAAATGCAGAATGATGCCTGGAAGTGTTGTTGCAACAACGTACGCACATTTCCATGCCAACCATGACCCTCCTAAACCTTTTTTTCATCCCTGAGACCTGTGGAGTTGGGTCTTCATGCAGCCTTCGGCTTAACTGTACACAGTGGCTTTCCATGTTTTCCCTGTCTGCTTTTTCTGGCAGACATGGATATGTAAGCCAACCCAGCATTTGGCCCATAGTGCATGTCCTAAATAGTTATTTACACAGTCCGAGTCCATTTTAGTCAACTGGGTAAATAACAGCCTTTTCAAAAGATTTATAAATCCATAAATATGTCTTTAGACATACCCAATAGACAGAAATAACTCAATCTGTCAAGAACATATCCGAAGAGGTGTTTCCCCCACAGACAGGAGTAATACATATTTTAAAACTTTCTCTGCTATTTTATTTGCACTGTGTTTCTTTTTCCTCCTTTCTTTTCAATTTTCACCACTTCATTATGGCACCTGTGGTACAAAAAAAGAAATCCCCTAGGCTTTGGTCCTCTGTAAAGAACCTTATCTGCTGCACAATGGAGGCATGCAGCAGGCTGTAGCTCAGCTGAGTCCTATTCTTTGGGACTTTCAAAGTAAATAAAATAAATCATCCAGGAAATTCTAAATTCTGCCATACTTCAAAAGTCAGTAATGGTTCCTAGTTAGAACTCCAGCAATATGGGGGACTTTGAGTGCCTGATAATTTGCCAAATTAGTAGCTGCTGTGATTGATGAAATAGTTTTAGAAGAAATATTTACCTAAGCTTAAAAACATGAGATACGAAATCCAGTCCTGGGTATTCTAAGGAGAATCTCTGTAAGATATGCAATGAAGAAAGGCCCACCTTTTTTTTATCCAGAGATTTAATGCTTATTCTTGATTTACATGTTATATCTTTCCTCAGACTCAAATTATTTATCATGACAACTCTTCCCATGATGTCTGCTTTCATTGAATATTAACACCTTGCAGGAACTTGATTCTTTCCTAGTGAAACCCTTTGAAAAGGCATTTAAAAGGGTGGCCCCACATCTGTGCATTCCCTTCTAAGAGGCTTGTTTGGTTGGTTCTGCTGCTGTTGCTACAGCAGTGATTTTGTGTACTCTTGAACTTCCCCAAAGCACTTTCAGAGATACTACACTGAATCCGTCTTTTGTGTCTTTCAGCTAATTGCTATTTTCCCATTTTGCAGGAAAAAAAACAAAGGAAAGCTAAGAAAGATTGGTGGGTGTGTGAGTAACTGTCAGAGTCAGTTCTAGCACCTTGGTGTTTTGGCTTTAGGACTCACATCTGTGTCTAATGATAGGCGGTACACATTAAAGGTGCTGGATTCTTCCACGTGTCTTCTTTGCCTTACTGTGCGCGGTGCTCCACTGAGCACAGCCAGGGCCTACTCGAGCAAGTGTGTGGTTTGGAGCGGGAGAAGGCCAAGTAAACCTGGTGCCTCTTTCCCATCAGCTTGTCCTCCCTCCCGGGAGGGCTGCCCCAGGTTCTCCAGGACTTGTAAGTAGCTTTAGCTACAATTGACCACGTTTTGAGTTTGGGCATATACCTTTTTTGGTTTAAGAGATTAGAATAAACAATAATAATAAGTAGTAATATATTAAGGGCTGCTCGTTTTTGTAGTAAGTCAGAAAGTCCATCCCCTCACTTTGGAAACGAGGTTGGGAGGTTCAGAGAGGCTGCGAGATTTGTCCAAGGTCATTCAGTGGTTGATAATCCGACTGGGATGTGAACCCATGCAGCCTGACTCCAGAGCCCAAGCTCCTAAATACTGTGTTCTAGCCTTGGTGGCACAGTGATTAAGGATTTGTTTGCTAACCAAAAAAGTTTGCAGTTTGAGTTCACCAGCTGCTCCGTGGAAACCCTATGGGGCAGTTCTACTCTGTCCTGTAGGATCGCTGAGTCGGAATCAAATTGATGGCAACAGGTTTTTTTTTTTTTTTTTGAAACAGTACTTCAGTGGGCCAGGCATGGAAAGGAGTCTCTGGGTGACACAAGCAGTTAAGCGCTTGACTACCAGCTGAAATGTTGGCAGTTCAAACCCACCCAGAGGTACCTTGGATGATGAGCCTGGTGATCTGCTTCTGAAAAGGTCACAGTCTTGAAAACCCTATGGAGCGGTTCTACTCTGCACACATGGGGTCGCCATGAGTCGGAGTCCACTGTACGGCAACCAACAACAACCAGGCATGGGAAAGCGGATCATTTGGTGGATGTTTTTTCTTTGATCAATTCAACAACTCTTTCCCAAGTGCCTGAGCTGTGCTGTGTATTGGTGACGTTGCTATGAACTAGACAGAATCAGCCTTAGCCTCAGGGCGTTTATACTCTGCTGGGGAGGGAGAATCGCGTTCTGCCTGCTAAGTAGAGTGATGATTGAGGTAATTTACGAAGGAGCGTGATGATTGATATGATTAATTTGTATTATGTATTAAGAGCCTAAACATTTCACTCATTCAAAGATTTGTTGAATTGAGAATAGGAGCATAGAAAACAAGTAAGGATATTTCTCTCGCAGAACATTTCCCACTTAAAGCTCATCTTATTTGCCGCTTTTGTGAGGATCAAGACCGCGTATTATTTCGACACGGAAATTTGATGTAAAACATTTCAACCCTAAAGGACGTTAATGGTCTCTGGAACCTCTGAAAACCACTTACGAACTTCTCCTTTGGAGGGCAGGACTCAGATCAACAATAGTACCCTTGCTCCCACGAAAAAAAGAAAGAAAAAGAAAAAAAGAGGCAAAACAGCATGTTTCTTTAAAGAGGAACAATTG